TACTCTGTTACACCAGGGGGCGCTGTGAGTGGATGATCTATAAGAGTATATATGAGTATATAGTGACACAATAGATGACAGCCTAGGAAACCCTGTGGGGCAGTTCTCCTCTGTTACACCCGGGGGCGCTGTGAGTGGATGATCTATAAGAGTATATACGAGTATATAGTGACACAATAATGACAGCCTAGGAAACCCTCTGGGGCAGTTCTCCTGGGTCACATGGGGGCGCTGTGAGTTACAGTGAACTCCACAACGTCAGTTAGCTCAGCTGTTAATTGAAAGGTCAGTGGTTTGAACCCAACCACCAGCTGCTCAGTGGGAGAAATATGAGGCAGTCTGCTTCTGTAAATGTTTACAGTCTTGCAAACCCTATGGAGTGGGTCTCCTGTCTCTTAGAGGGTCGCTATGTATTGGAATGCACACTTTTTCCCATGGAGCTGCTGCTGGGTTTGAACTTCCAACCTTTCACTTAGCAGCTGAGTACTTAAGCACTGTCCCTGGAGGACAGCTACCAGAGTATTTACGGTAAAACGTGTATTGTCTTTTCCATAGTTTTGTGTGCTCTCAGTCTAGAATGGATAATGCGTCACTCATCTAAATTCTAAGAACTTTATATAACATCTCCCTAAATTTTTCAGTTCTGCTTTCTTTAAAATTTTATTGTATGTGTAAATTATTATGTTGTCCCTTTAAAATCTTTCTTGTCGCTAGCATTAGGATCGAGGGTTGGGCAATGGTTCGGAAGTATTAGAGTCTCTCGGTCTCGCTAAGGTTTAGTTGTGGCCGTTGCATTGTTAGGGAAGCTGGCAGCACGTGGTTCTACATCTGGCTGTTAACTGAGAGTTGGGGGTTCTAACCCAGCAGTCACTTCACTACAGAATGTGTGTGCTGTGAGGGTTATAGCCTTGGGAGGCGGCGGCAGCTCTGCTCTGTCCTACAGGGTTGCTAAGTCTCAGAGTCCACTTGCTGGCCCCGGGGACTGTGTTGTTGTTGTTGTTGGTGCTGGTGGTGGTAATGCTGGCCACAATGGACAAAAAGCCGTTTGGTCCAGTGTTGTGGGGACATCACCAACGTTCCCTGTTCATGGAATGACAGAGAAGTTAAGACACCTGTAAGAGTGCCCGGGCCAGGTGGCAGCCTTACTGAGTGAATCCCCTGATAATTGGATAGGTAGCTGCAAAGTCCGTATTGCTGGTGAAGGTTTGAAGTGAAGTGAGACACAAAGAGTTGTCATCGAAATTGAGTTAGGAGAGAGAAAAAAGAAATCACGTGTTGCTCTCATGAATTAATCTGCTTTGAAGACTTTTAATTCACTATGAAACATACTAGCATCTGATCACTGTACGGAATGGATTACAAGGACAACAGTGACCTGAAAGAGGGCCGTCCTAACAGGTGTCCTGGTGGGACCTGTGGTGGGCAAGAGGCAGCGTCCACTGAGGAAGATCAAGTCTGTGGGCAGCTCGGGGAATGAAAGAAAAGAATAGAATAATAGGATGCAGAGTATGCTTGGAGCACCTTGCCTGATGACGTTCTAACAGTGACTCCGCCCACTCTGTGCTACTGCCCACCCCCCACAGACACACACTGAACTGCCCCCCACAGACTGCCTGATGGTGTCCTAACAGTGACTCCGCCCACTCTGTGCTACTGCCCACCCCCCACAGACACACACTGAACTGCCCCCAACAGACTCTTTCTTCCCT